GCCGGAAGTCGTGGCCTCCCCGCGGTTGACTCGGACGTGGTCCGTGTCTTCCGGGGGGAGGGGCCGGACCTCCACGGTAAACTGGCCTCCAGGATCCGCGGAGTGGGATGGCAGTTGGAAGCTGGGCGGCAATCTGTCGCCCAGCGCCCTCCTGTTTCCGTGAACTCGTCAACCCCTGTGTCTGGGGCCGACGTCCCGCTGCTGGGGCGTGCGGCCTGGCATAAGGGGGGGGCGAGGGAGTGGGAGCAGGAGGGAAGAGGGGAGAGTCCCCTCGCGGCTGGGTCGGATGCAATCCGGCCCTTCCGGGAGGGGGCGGGGCCCCGGGTACACGTCGGGTCCTAGACCCGCGTCGCCCGGTTGGCCCGGCAAGAACGGGGGATCGGGGCCGCTCGGACGTTTCCGAGGCAGGGTCCGGTCTCCCGGAAGACCCTGGGGGCCGCTGGGACGTATTCCCAGGCAGGGCCTCGGGGTCTGAGGGGTTGGTCGGCAAACCTGCCGGCCAACACCCGGTCCTCCGCGACGAAGCGGCTGGTTCCTGCGTCTGGGGCCGACGTCCCGCTGCTGGGACGTGCGGTCTGGCGTATGGGGCCGGTCGTGGAGGGCGGAGGACCGGTCGTGTGCTTGGTGTGTGAGTGAGCCGCGGTCGGCTGCCGGTGGATATTTCCCTGAGACTAACCAAGGGGGGAGTAGTAAACCCCCCGACCGGGGACGAGCGGTGACGTCTGTACCTGACCTCTGCCATGGACTACGCGGGACCGTAAGACCAGTTTACTGGCAAAGTCCGCAGGAAGTGGCATGTTTAATGTGGGAAAACCGCTCCCGTCTCGTCTGTCTGGAGCCTATCAGGGGGTTGAAGCCGGCAGTCCGGGCGCGGGTATGGAGGGGCGCCTAGCCGGTGTCCTCTCGTACCCTGTGAGGGGGGAAAATCCCTTACGCCTTCTAGCCCTGGGGAGGAGTATGCGGCCGGCGGATCGGTGCGCGCTGCTCTCCGGGGGTGAAGTAAAAACTTTGCATCATGGTGGACCTGGCCCTCTCCAGGAACATTTTTTGTAGAGCCACTGACCGGGATAGGGGCTGGCTACCCCGAAAAAGGCTTCTCCTCTGCCCGGTCCATAATTAGGGATTTTCTTAACCGGGGAAGTACCCCCACCGCGGTGGGGGTCCCATGATGGGCGAACCGGTCCCAAAATCACTGCCAGATATGGATAACAAATCACACACCACGAGAAGAGAGGCGAAAGTTAAGAAGACGGGCAACTCCCAAGAGACCAAGGACGGTAGGATGGGAAGAGTCCTTGGGAAGACCCGACAAGGCGATCCAAATACGTCGGTGGCAGCGGCAAGCGGCACGAAGCCTGGGCCAGCTTGCTCAAAGGTAGCAAGGGAGGCTCCACTCCCGCTGGACTCAGATGGGTCAGAGACGGAAGAGATGGTGGATGTCGACAACGTTTCATCCACAGATGACGAGTGGTCATCTGCCGCGTCGGTGGACAAGTGCACCGGCAAGAGGAAAAAGAGAGGGTGGCCGCCCAAGACGGTCGAGGGCATCAAGGCGCAGAAGAAGGCCGAGTGCAAGCGGGAGCTGAAGAAGCTCAAGGCCGAGAAAAAGGCGTTGGAGGAGGTGCTCAACCCCAGGATGGCACCTCGGAGCAAGACGCCGGAGAGGGACATCATGCATCAGATGGAGGTGCTGTCCAAAGACCAGCTAGCTGCAGAGATGCTAGGCAACATCGACGTGGTCGTGAAGGTGGCCGAAAGGTCCTCCAACCTGAAGGGCACCTTCGTAAAAGAGCTCAAGGCCAGTGCGAACAAGCTGAGAGCCGCAGCCGTTGTGGTGAGCAGGAAGACGGCGAGCTCAACCAACGCGGCCCTCGAGGAGGAGACGGTGAGGCTAAGGGAGAGAGTGAGGAGCCTGGAGGATCAGGTGGCTACACTCACGACTCTCCTCAGTAAGGAAAGAGAGGTAAAGGCCAGCAAGGAGAGGGCAAAGATACCTGAGGAGGATATGGAGGTTGAGATGCAGGAAGTGCACCTCCCCCGAGTCCAAGTCCAAGCCCAGAACACTGCGGACTTAGCCAATCCAGTGCGAACCAGGGCACAGAATAAGAAGGAGAAGGCGAAGACGGAGGGAGCAACGATGGACCCCGTATACCGCCCGGCCGTCAGAGGGGAGAGAAAGAGGTTGGAGGAGCCGTCGCCGGAGACAGCTATGGAGGGCGTGAGAACGGTGATGGAGGGGGTCTCCATTAAGGAGATAACTAAAGGGGACCCACAGGAGGTAAAGCGCAACCTGGAGCACTTAATCGCAAGATGCCAGGGAGCGCTAGTTAGAATTCCGAGGGAAGAAAAACCGGGAAACACAAGAAGCTTGCCGAGTATCACCAAAGTTGAGGTGGTAAAAAACAAGCTGAGACTGGAGGCTAAGGAGACGGCGGAGCGGATCATTCGAGACTCGCAAGCGCCAAGAGGGCAAACCCCCACTTCCCAAGACACCTCGTGGGTGGAGGTGGTGAAGAGGGGGGGCAAGAGGAAGCCGGGAACGAGGCCAGCGAACACGGAGGCTTCGTCAAATGCCGGCAGAGGAGAGGGGAAACTGCGCTACGCGGACGTTGCGAGGGCCAAGCAGCCGAGCAGTCAACCTGCTAAGGCAGGGAAGGCAAGCCTGCAAATCCCGGCTGGAGAAGGAGGTAAGCCGGAGGCCAAGAGACCACAGAAGGCTGTGGAGGAGACCAGGGTAAGCACCGCCCAGGGGGCCAAGGCAACGGCGAAGAAGAGAAGGAGGGCCCCAAGATCAGAGGCGGTGTCCATCACGTTCCCCGCGGGCGAGGGAGCTGAGGGCATGAGGGAGATCAGGGCCAGGATCAACTTGGAGACGCTTGGCATTGGTCCCCTAAAGCAGAGGAGAGGACTAACCGGGGCCCTGATCTTCGAGGTGTCAGGGCCTGAGAGTGCGAAGAAGGCCGATGCCCTGGCCAATGAAATGCGCGGGGCAGTGGCCGGCAAGGAGGGGGTGCGGATCTCTCGACCGAAAAAGATGGCGGAGATCCGCATCAAAGACGTGGACGAGTCCATTACTAAAGACGAACTCGTTC